ATAACAAACAACACATCGATTGTTGCCCAATAGATCTAGTAGTAGATAATGCACCATCTGATGTTCCCTAAACCAACTAAAGATAAGTATATAGTTTGATGACACATAACAAGTTAATCCATATCTTCAAAATTGCTCTAAGATTAACATTGAACTTATACAAAGAAGATATTGCAAGATCATCTGCAAATCATTAACTTGTTTGATGAAGGTAAAATCATTTATTGTGACTTGTCATTAGCTCGCCTAATATAATACCACTATGTTGACTACATGTGTTTTTGGATCATGGAAGAAGCACAATAGTGATAAAGTACATGTCATAATATCATTTGATGAGGCCAAATGTAACCAACTACTCACCATTACTTATCTTATAAAATGTTGTCTATTTGGTGCAAGGTTAACTAACTACTCACCACTAACTCGGCAAATGAAGGGTTGATCATTTGGTGCAATGTTGACCAGTTAAGTATCATCAAACCATTTGATGAGATATTAATAGTTTGATGAAGTGTTGACTATCTAATGTAAGATTCACTAGCAAACCATCATCAAACCATCAAATGAGATGTTAACCATATGAGAAAATGTTGACCATATCGAGTTGACTAAATGAAGCCTATCAATTATGAAGTATTGACCACTTGACGTAGAGTTGACCAACTAATGAAGAAATATGTGTTGATCATCTAATATGAGTAGACCAGTTACACATAATTACCTTATCTAAAAGAGCCAAACTTGATTAAAATAACTTATCATCAATTAATCTAAGAACATTCATCTAAAGGAAACATTGTTAATCGAGTCCAATTATGACTCATCTATTAAGACTAACTAATCCACATGTTTAAGTTCAAAAATTTATTAAAAGACCAATTACCATTGAAAGTCTTAACCATGAAGAAACATCATACAAAATTTATCAATTAATTAATATAACCAATCCATTGAAAAGTTAATAGGTGTACCGTGCTTATCAATAAGCCAAGTTATATATTATACAAAGCGTAAAGTTTGAACTTTTAAGAAATTATGGGTATAAATTGAATAAGGCAGATACAATAATTATCAAGTGAACACCTTTTGAAGAAAAAACTAACTCTCTCGTTGAGTGAAGCTTGAGGTAAAGCATAATAACCCCAAAATCTTTGAAGACCATTGAGCTTGTATTATACACTCATGTATAAAACTGATGCACTCAACACTTAACATTGTGCCCTCAAATAGCTACTTTTGCATGATACTATATAAGACATTTTTTTTACTTGCAAAAAGGGCCAATTGAATGTTGAAATTGCGGAAACTTTGCAAGAAAAATGCTTCCATGTTCCATCAGATGTAACTTTCATGTTCTAACCTAAAAGAAGCTATTGCTAGATTTCTTCATCTTATGAAGTAAGTTTCTAATCAAGAGAAAAAGAGCACACACTGTAATTCTCCACTATTTGAAGAAGAAAGCTCTAATGTATAAGATAAATTTTCACATCCTTTCGATGAGAGTTATGAATTTGTGTCCATTATCAAATATTTGTTTAACAATACTTGTAAAAGGGTTATAATACTTGTTTTGAGCTAAGAGTAGCTTGATATTAAAGAATAATTATGCTTTAACTTATAGAGCATGATTGGTTTCGCGTAATTATTTGTAAGTGAAGAAATGTCAATTGATATTTCTTATTTTATGGTATATTGATCATAATGGAACCATCTAATTATTTAGTAAAAGATGATTAGACATAACTCACATTTAGTGAATTAATATAAAAATTGAGTTTTTTAGTTATTACTTAACTTATTTGTTTATATATTTCATGTTTCACATATTTGTTTTAAAAAAGCATCTTAAAATTATTACAAAAATATTTTGAAAATATTTATAAGCTTCAAATATTGTACAAGTTGTCTTAAAAAAAAAATCAGATATAGAACACTACATTATCATCTTAACTCTATGAGACAAAGATGCCAATCAATCAAATGTACTAAGATGATTCAACAAGTTAGCTAATAGTTAGCAAAAAAAATTTAAAATCTATATTCAAATCCCTATTTTTAGAGCTAATCTATAATTTAAAATATCAACAAGATTATCTTCTTTGGCTACAAATTGTAAATCCACACTCCCTTTTTTAACATGATCTTATAAAGATAATGTTTAATTCTTATAAAGATAATGTTTAATTTTGTTGGATTTTACAAGAAGGACAATATAGAGCTACTATTCACAAAGAAAAAAAGAAATTTACCTAAGATAACATCACATTACCTTAAACTCAAAATCCAAATACATTAGGATTTTGTGTCTTTCTTACTTATTTCTCAACTCTTTTTTTTTTCAACTTAAAACAATAGATAAAACTTTTAACCTTTATTAACATTTATAACTAAAACTTATATCATAAAAAGCAAGATATTACTCTGATAAACAACGTAGTACTCTGTTTTATCCTTTTAATCCATAACACTTCGTAATAATAACGAGTAATTAATATATATATATATATATATATATATATATATATATTCAACTTTATTAAGATTTAAAATCAAATATATATTTTTAAGGATATAACAGTTCAGATTAATAGCGATGTATTAAAATAATCATCAAAATTCTATAATTTTTTTAGTGTCCAATATATATTTATTTTATAATTTTTGAATAAATATGTAGATATCTTAAAAGTAAAAAAAAAAAACAAGTTTGAAAAAAACTTGTAAAAATCCGAGTTTAAAAAACAAATTTAACATCATGTAAACACTGTTTCCAAAATATCTAAACATTTAGATATTTTTCTAAGGAAAAAAAGTTTCTCAACCCTGAATTTTATATATACACTATTATCTAAATGAGATAATTAATTTATTAAAGAAAAAACAAGGATCTAAGCATTTATTTATGTGCAATAATATTCATATACATATATTTAATTAAAAAAAAAATTAAAAATATAGAAAAACTAAAACTGAAATTATTTTAAAAATATTTTACTTTCTTAATTTTTCTCCTAGTGTACATAAGAGAAATAGATAAAAATAAAATTAGTCAAAATAAAACTCATTAAGACTTATTTTTATTTTTAATTGTTTTAAATCTAGATTTTAAAAAAATATTATTAAATTATCATATTAAAATAACATAAATAAATAAATATAATAATTTTTTAAAACTTTGAAAAAAAAATTGTATTATATATATGAATTCAAATTCATGCATCTTTAATCCTTTCATGCACTCATTATAGGCATCAATCCAAAAACAATTTATCATTTCATGACATTACATTTCTTAAACATAAACCCTATGAGATAATATGATTAATCAAAGTGACTGTTATTCCGTTATATTTTTTTAATATTATTATATTATATCTACGGATAACTTACATATTTTGTTCTTTTTACTATACAAAATAAATTAATGTACATAGTCAGTCATAGTAGTATATTTAATAATATTATTTTACTATTCCACCATATATTATGTATAATAACATTATTCTAACGTTCATGCAATATCTACCCATGCAATTTACCTGTGCAGAGATATTATTTTACAATTTCACATAAAAAATATTATTCTACTATGTAAAAATTCACTATCGTGATATTATTGAAGTTAAAAATTTACAATATATTTTTCTGCTATTATTGATAACAGAATTACGTAAGAGTAATATTATCAGAAAATAAAAGTAAATATATGGAACTCAAAAGTTATAAGACAGTACAAGAACTCAATAAGAAAAAAGAAGAACTGTATTTATAAAAAAAAAAAAGTTACAAATATCTCCACTCAAACATGTTGAGGTTGTTTTAAGATCTGTTAGAGAACCCTATCAATATAACTCAGACAAAAAAACATAAAGACGAAACGATATCAGTAACTCAGAAAACAAAAACATAAAAGACGAAACTATATCAGCAGAACCCTATCAAAAACAAGAAGAAATATCAAGTAGAAGATTTAAACAATAACTATAACACTGTACCAATAATTAATATATATATATATATATATATACTAATTCACGTAGAAATGTACTATCCTAATATTATCTTCGTAAACATGCAAGTAGTATATCATATTTTTTTAAACATAACTTCAAGTCAAAGTTTATAATGCATAAATACTTGTCTAATAAGGCGAGAATAATTTCAGGCAAAGTTCATTGATATTAATAATCTGATTATTGAAAAAAGTTTTAAAAAAAGTTTAAAGAATTTTTTTAGATAATTAAAGTTGTACATGCAGAAATGCAGAAAAGTTATAAGACAGTACAAGAACTCAAGCAAAGTTCTAAGATAAAAGAAAAGTTATAAGACAGTACAAGAACTCAAGCAAAGTTTTAAGATAAAACAAGAACGGTACCCCCCTTTCTTTCAGCAACCTAAAGAAGTTTTAGACAGCTCAGAGATAATATCAATACCAGTATCGGAAAGAACCCTAAAGACGAACAATGAACGTAGTAACCCTAAGAAACCCTAAAGGCACTAAAGACGAACAATGAATAAAATAACCCTAAGAATTCCTAAAAACACTACAGACGAACAATATTTTTACTGTGCAAAGTTTCAGTTTAGGATAAAGATAAAACATGATATCAATAATATATACAATATATGATAGAGATGGAACATTATACAAATAAGATATATTGTTTATAATATTATTCTGATACAGTGATCAGAATAAGATGCTGCTGATAATAAATAATACAGACGATCCTGTCATGCTAATATAATTAACACGACTTCCCCTAGCAGCCTTATGACATGCTTTAGATACAAGACAGAAAGACAGACATATATGCTTATAAATATACCTTGATAAGCTTGACTCTATTTACTCCACACCCTCACAGAATTAATACATCACTGACATATTCACATAACACTAAGGTGATGTAAGTCATCATCTGAGATGACTTTTATTATTATTACTACTACTTCTGTCTCATCAGGGCTCAGGAGAAAGTTCCATTTGGGGACAATTACATGCACCAAGGAGTTTGCATAGAGTCCCAAGGACCCACTTCATAAAAGGTTTCAGCTCCATAAATTCCATCAGCATCTGGTATGACAGGGAAATCCAGAGACATAGCAGCTTCGGTCCAGATGGACTCATCAAACAAAGGGTAAGGAAGGTCGTTGATTGACCCCCAAAAAGGACCAAGCATGTTCCCCTCCATCTCCACAGGGTTGGAGGGGTAAATCCCCATGGGGGTGGTGCTGGTTTCATAGGGAATTCCGACAAGAGAGTCGCTGGTGTACACAGGCGCAGAATCAGCAATTGCATGCTGATCAGGGGGCATGGAGACCAGGGGGTTGGTCATGATGTTGGGGTTGTTGGTGAGGTTGTTGATGAGATCAGAGGAACAGAGACTGAGAAGTTCATAGGGAAGGAAAATCTGAGGGTTTTGAGGCTGTGGTGGTGGTGGCATTTGGGGGATCTGAGGGTTGGGAGGAAGGTAAGGTGGTAGAGGATGGGGATTCATGGGCACAGGACGAGGTGGGAGGTTGAGTTGTGCATCAGATCCATAGAGCTTGCGTGCTGCAGAATCATAGGCACGGGCAGCCTCACCGGCCGTCTCAAATGTGCCTAGCCAGAGGCGTGCACCACGGTTGGGCTCACGGATCTCAGCCACCCATTTGCCCCAAGTTCTCTGCCTCACACCTTTGTAGGTGCAAGTGGCATTCTCAGGGCCTCCTTTTCCCTTCATGCACCCCTTTCTGGAAGTGCCCTTAACATGTTTTTTCATCTGCTTACTCCCACCAATTCCCATGCCTGATTTCAGCATTGTGCTGGGGAAAGGATTATGGACAAATTGTAACAACTAGAGGAATTACCAAGGAGAGAAGGGTTTAGTTTAGTGTGAGAAATGGGAATGGGGTGGGGGTATTTATACTGTGGTAAGAAGAGTTATGAGAGTAAAACTTAACCCAGGTATTGAAACGTGGCCCTTAGTGGAGTTTAGTAGCTACTTGGCATGATGACCCAGGCTCATCGTGTCAACTATGAGTCTCACTGTTGGTTTCTCTTTAACACACTTGGCCCGGATCTTTGTTTGTATACAAACTCAGGTGTCGAAGGATCGAGAGCAAAACTCTCACTTGGTTTCTCCCCCCTTTTATTATTTCCTTTGCCTTTTATTTATTGAGTGAAATAAATGAGGCCATTAATGCAGAATATAAAAAAATGAAACAAGGAAAAAAAATTAAAAGCTGTAGGAGTGAGAGAGCAGTTTCTCTTGGTTTATGGTGTTTATCTAATGTTTTTTTGTCTTCTTTTATAGGAATTAATTTGAATTGGAATAATAGTCACCCTACTATTTTGGTGTGCACGGTGACATTTGGAAGAAACAGTTCAAGATAACTATGACTCAGGAAATAAAAACTAATCACATGAAATTGAAATAACAAGCATCCTGAATTGTACTCAGTGCCCATTAAAAGAACTAAAACTAGGGTTAATGACTGAGACACCAAGTGCTGCTACAGCACGTGTCAGTTTACCAAAATGGATAGACATTTTACATTTTTTTACTGTTTTATTGATGTGCATTTTGCATTCACACATACACACTAGTTACTCATTAGTGTATTGTTCTTTTGGTAATTAAATAGAAAGAAGTTGTTTTTCCTTGAACTCTAACTATAAAATAACTAGTCATAAATGTACTTATCTATACTGATAGATTTAGGTTAAAAATAGTCTAGAAATATTGTATTATTTAAAATCGAAAATATTCACTTCTCAAATGCACTTTAACATTAAGGTAGCAGCCGTGGATTGAGAAGCTGATATAAAATAGTCTATAGATATTATATTATATATTTATTACTTGTATACACAACATCTGATTCTGATTTATATGGGACTTGTGCAAAAGAGGATTTGGTATCACACCGTGTACGGTAGAGGTGTCAACAGGGGACGTTTGCAAGTACAACTTCAATTTATTTATTTTTTGGTCTAATTTGAGGTTTTCAAGACCATGATTCCTGGGTATTATGTTTATCTCTTAACTTTTGATTTGTTTGCTTTTAGCATGAGTTATCAATGTATTACATGTATGTCCAAATGTGCTGTTACACTATATTCCAAGCTTTCTACTCAGTGAGGCTGGTAAGAACCATTTTGCTTCTAGGTGGCAGTTACATTAAAACACGTTATTTAAACACGCAAGGAAATATAGTTGATGTTCACATGGGTATACAGTTCGGATAGGTATCATTCTGAACTGGCATTGCTATGGTCATGGTGTCATGAAAATCTCAATTAAACAGAGTTCTGATAGTGCAATTCATTTATTTTGTTTGAACTAACTATTTTATTTATCTAAAAGTTGCAAATGAGAACTCATGTACGAATACTTCCATGGTAGATGACACAGTCTCTTATAAATATTTTTTATGGTATTTATTATGCCCTCTTATAATATTTATTATGATATTTATTATCTTAACATGTATTTACTATGGCAGCATGGGACTGACCAACATGATTCTGGCCGCGATATAGGCCATAAATGTTGCATAAATCTTTTCCATTTATACTATAAATTACATAACTTTCATGTGAAATTGTCACTCTTGATGCTTACAACAATATAAACTTATTTTCAATTTGCCAATTTCGATGCAAACAATAATATAAACTTTCATGTCAACCTGTCAATTCTAATGCTTTATGAACTTTCATGACAATCCTGATGCTTTCAACACTATCAGACCCGATGAACTTGGACTCCTATTCTCATAATGCTTTCATAGTCTTAAACGAGTATTTCTCTAAAACAAACTGGTAATAATTTTCTTAACTTTAGCTCTCAGACAAAGCCAAATTACCAGAACCAACTTTTATGTTTCATTGCAAAAGAGCCTTGATGAGCCGCAAATACTGTCTAACGAAAGCATACAACAATCTGTTCTCAAGGTGGCACACTAGAAGCCAATGTTTCACTAGAATCTGAGCATTTCTTCAAAGCCGACCTTATCTCCTTTAACATCGTGTCAATCCTGATACCCTTTCTGCAAGCAATAAGAAATTTTGACAAATGTCAATGTATTTGAATTATATATAATAAAGAGATTGTTTACACAATTACTACACGTGTGGAGAAGAAAAACACTTTAAAAAAGAAAATAAAAAAATTATAAAAAGGAACACTGACTCCTGTTGACCAAAGCCCATGTATTATTAGAATTATATATAATAAAGAGATTGTTTACCCAATCAATACACGAGTGTGAAAAAGAAACACTTTTAAAAAAGAAAAATAATTATGGAACAAGGAAACACCTTAAAAATAAAATATAGAACAAACTGTGAAGGACTTACAGAACACTGACTCCAACAACAGAGAGAGGTCGAGCATACTCCTCAAGTCTTTTTTCCTTCGTGTCAGTTTCATCAGACAATTGAGCTGGAACTTCAGAGTTTGATCTTAGTTCGGAAGTAGCACCACCGTTGCCTATTCTCATGATTTCTTGAATCAATGATGGGAGTCTGTCCTTTGCCTAAAGATTATTTTAGATGAAAATGTTTGTTATCTGACATAATTATGTATACTTCTTGAATATACATGACCCTTACCAAACCATACAATGTCAGACCAGAGGATGCATTGGCCATCCCTTTTCAAGATAAAAGGAAATTAAACGATAACACTTAACCCACATATTGTCTCCGACACCACATACCTCTGGTAAGTCAATCTTATTCAAAACTACAACGTACGGTCGTTCAAGGTACTCAGGATTATACATGCGCAACTCCTGCATAACAGACGAATTACAATGGGGAGAACGTGGGCAGGATTAAAAACAGAGAACACAGGAAACTCCTTACAACAAGAAAAACTGGCCTGACCACAGATTATTCCTGGACATTATTTATTTGTATATTTTGCCTAACTCAATAATAAAACAGCCCCTAACATGAGTTACAAATTGTTTATTTTTGAGACAAAACTTATAATACGATCAATTTTCCAAGTAAATTCCCTTCCAATTGTTAGAATTGAGACTCTTCCAAAGTATAAATAAATAACACTTCAAATAAAGCTGTTCATCCAGTGAAAAAAACCTTAGTCTGAATGGATAAATAAACTATATCCAATCATAGTGTAAAATACATACTTCTCTGACAGTTCTGTAATCATTTATAGGATTCTCGGTGGCAGCATCCACAACATGGACCAATAGCCGGGTCCTCCGGAGGTGCCTCAAAAAATTGCGACCAAGACCCTTAAATTGAAAGACAAAACCGTCAATTTAGCATATCAATGGTTTAAAATGGAGGGAATGAGAATGAAAATATTTGATACCTTTCCTAAGTGAGCACCTTCAATAAGACCAGGCAAATCTGCCAATGTAGCTTCGGATGAAAACATTCCTGCCCCCAAGCTGGGATCACCACCCAGGCGTCCAAGATTTGGCATTAATGTTGTAAAAGGATAATCAGCTATATCAGGCTTAGCAAGTGTAATGGCTGCCAGAAGAGTTGATTTCCCAGCATTTGGAAGTCCCTATAATAAGATTAACTTGATCATGAGATGAATGGGTGAAAACATCAAGAGGACATAAAGTAAGAAAAAACCAACATACAGATGACCTTTGTTCACCAAACAAACAAATGATTTCATACAAAGAAAAACAAACTTCAGCTTTATTACATCTCTCCTTTTCATCTTTCACAAACTCCAAGCCATGGTATTTCCGTTTCCAAGCAATTACAAAACTATCTTCCTTCATATAGAGATAAAACACTACAGATCATTCACCTATGTCAAGAATTAAATTGCATTACACAAATAAGATACAAACCTTACATTACAAGTTATTTTTGTAGGATTGAATTAAACCTATATTTACTTACTAACATGGTATTAGAACCTATCCTATTGATGTTGGAATTATTGTACCAACTATTATCAAGCCGGCTTTATAGGGTTGAGTTAAACTGATATTTACTTACTAACATGGTATTAGAACCTATCCTATCTATGTTGGGACAATTGTACCATCCATTATCAAGTTGCTATTGGACCATTCATATCCTCAATGTAAGATGGTGGGCTGGAATTAAAGATCACCTGTATCCTGGATATGAGGGGATCTTTTGAAATCTCACCAATTAGAGATATAATTAATTTGTAGAATATAAGTGGGTACAAACCTCATCTTATAAACCGGTTTTACAAGGTTGAATTAGACCCATATCCACTTTTTAACATCAATATTACAGTTATTATGAAGATAAAAGTGAGATAATTGATTACTAAATGAACAGGGGAAATGCATAGACGCAAAACTTACAATCAGACCAACATCTGCAACAACTCGTAAGATCAGCTCCAACTTAACTTCCTCCCCAGGATGACCGTGAACTAAAATCTGTAAAAAATTTAAAATGATAATGTTATATCTTACAGTTAGATAGGAACACAAGTTGCTAATGCAGAAATTTCTAATACTACTAGTCAACTATTTCCTGACTCAAGACAATTTTACATTTCCTGACAAAACCCAATATTAGAATTGACAATTTAAAATCATAAATCCTAGAAGACCCAAGCAAAAATAGCGACACATGAGTGTGCATCTTGGACAAAATAATTTGTCACTCATTATGTGTTGCAAAATTCAAATAAACATTGATTAACTGAGGTAGTAAGAGAAGAAGAACCCTGTTGATTTTGTTCTAGTATAAGATTTTCAATTTGCAGAGAAGATTGTAATACTAGAGGTTACTAAGATATCTTTCCAAGGATGACACTGAGAAATATTCCATGAATACTCAAAAAGCTTTACCTTGTCTGAGTCATCTCTCATCACATTAGTTGTCAGAGCCATCATCTTTTTTCTTTGACGCTGTGGCATTTCTAACAAGCTAATCTGGGAATGCAAAAAAGAAAATTCAGATTAAGACCAAAATTAACAAAATCGATATAGGTGTATATATGTCATGAATAAATGAATGGGAACGGCAGCCCAATGGTCAATGTTCTAATATAATGGGGTCTAGGGAGGGTAGATGTACCCAAAGAGGCCAATTCCTGGATTTAAACCCATGACTTGATGTTATCGTCATAAGGCAACAACCCTACTGTTGTGCCAAAATTATCTATATGTATATATGAATCCAAGGGTCTAATTATTCATTTTATTATCAATCTGAAACAACACAACTTATCTCACATTACTAAACAATTTGGTAACAACTTTGATTAATTAAAATGGCCTGATTCAACTCTCAATTACAAAGATAACAGATTTGAAAACAATTTTTGAATATTTGTACTACCCCTCCTTGTCCTCCCCTCGCAACAAGAACTTCATCACCGGGTTGTGCTAGATCAGCCAACGCCTTCCCTCGTTTGTTTTTCACAACTGTACCTGTCACATTTATAAACGCAATCAGATTTAATTCTTGGCAGGTTGTTTTCACCAAAGAAGAACCAAAATGAAACAAGTTGAGCTTTTTTGTACTTAGATTCAAAACATACAGATTTAAAGTGAAAGCAAAAAAGAAAAACATGTCAACTGCCACCTGATTACTTGTTTAGTTTGAGAAAGATGTTTCCTATTTTCATTAATGATAAAAGCATAATTTAATATTTACTATGTTTCTAATTTCAAAGACTTACATTCAACATTCCATAAAAAAGAAAATAAAGTGAATTTTTTTAACTAATAATGAAAATAGGAAATAATAAACAAAATATTTTCTCAAACCAACCGAGAGACATTTTTTTTTGGTTTCTTTCATTCTTGGTTGATAAAGACATTCATTTTTTAAGAACAAATTACTTTGTCTTTCCCTCTAATTTTAAGAATAACACACTCTTCCTTTGCCACATGAATGTAGTGGTGAACAACTAAGAATAAGCCTCTTAGACATTCTCCCTTTCTCTACAACTTGCAATGTGGTCTACAACTAATGTGTGTTTGATTTGGCATTGAGTTCTGTCCAACATCAATTGTTTGTGAGAGTGTCATCCCCAGGTGAGAATGCTTCGGAACAAGGTATTACGGTAGAACAAGCATACACCAAGTGTGAACACAATATTATTAATTTTAGAACTTAGACAATAAGATGAAACTTTAAACAACCCTTTTATCAAAATCACAACTTCATCCAAAAATTTTATTTTATTTTCATTGGACCCGATTGAATAAACTTCACTACAAGCAATTATCAAAGGATAGAAGTTAAAATTAGTTTATATATAAGTACATTTATAAAAATTGTGTAATCTTAACTCTCCTGTAAGTTTATTTTCCAACAAATGTATAAGTTAATTTTATCTACTTAATGGAGTTTTTCCTTTTTTTCTTTCTATCTTCTGAACTCAAAAGTGCTTATGCAAATGTTTCCATCGTCACAAAGCCTAATCAAAGAGTTTCAAAATTAGCTATCAACTATGCCAATAATCAGTAATGCAGAAAAAAAAAAAAAATCAGAAAAACACAAACCTACAGGGACAGGAATGCGTAGCGTGGGCGCCACAAGTCCATCGCGCAACATCGACGTCAAAGCGCCCATCGCATCAACGTTGCCGCCGCGCTTGGCGTGATATCTGCTCTTGGTGTGAAACTCCAGCAACGTGTCTTTGGCCTCGTCGGCGTAGATCACCACGTCCCCTCCGTGCCCTCCCGTAGGAAGTATGAGCGACCCGTCGAAGTCCCTCTTCAACGAGCCTTTCCCTTTCTTCTTCGCTTTCCCCCGCTCCTGCTCGTTCTTCTCTTTGTGATTCAGCACCGCACCGTGGCCTCCGTCACCCGCGCGAACGGTGATGATTGCGTGGTCGAAGAATTTGTGAGGCTCCTTCGTCAACGACGACGGAGGAGACGCGCCGGTGCTGGTAAGGCCACACCATACCGTTTTCTGTTTGTGATTTTGGTGGTTTCGTGTGTGGTGACGGAATTGGACGCTCCTATACTAAACGAACAACGCTAATTAAGAAAAAACTGAAAATGGAGGAATGATGAGTGAGTGAATAGTAGTACCTTGGCGGAATAAAGAGAGTGGAGAAGAAAGGAGTATCGCGCAATTGAATGTTGGAAGATGAAGCAGGTGGCGAAATTAGAGACACCATTATCCGAATTTCGTTAGAAAGAAATACAGAAGAAGAAGAAGAATGGGCGTGTGTGTTTGAATGTACGAGTGAGTGTGAGAAGGACGAATATCTTGAACGAAAAATATTAACCTATATCTAATAATAAATTTACATTTAACAAAATAGTTAAATTTATAAATACAATATTTTTTTATAAATGATTAAAATAAATAAATGCAATTATTTATATATTAGATATGATCAATAATAGTTTCATAGAATTATTAACATGTTTTTAATGACTAATTTTGTTTCATAAATATTTAATAATTCTAGTATATTATTATAATTATTACTGCCAGTGTTATTAGTGAATTAATTATAAATATGATTAGTTTTATTTTATAAATAAATAATGGTGTGAAATTATTAAAAATATTTTATTATTTCACGAATTCATCAAATTTTAAATTATTGATTTAATATTTTAGATTTTAAGCCTCTTACTTAAGTTGATAATAAAGTTCACTATCCCGATATTTTTTTCATAAACAAGACTGGTAGGGTTGTTAAAATATTGGTCCAATTTAGCATGTATCAACAATATTTAAAAACAAACTATAACTTTTGGTCTAATTTATTCTTACGTTAACTTAATAGATTAATTTTAATTTGACCGAAAATAAATAAATTAATAACCTACTTATATAAAATTATTTTTATTTTATATATAATTATTTAATATTTAAATTGCAAGATAAATGGTTTATTTACTTCCAAAACAACAATTAAAAAATTATTCTTCATTATCATAATTTATTTTTTTAGTAATTTGATATTCTAAAATAATAATTTTTCTTAATCATTATATCTTTTAAATAAGTGAATGTTAAAAATTTATTCTTAAAATAAGTAGATCATTTATTAAATTAATTTATAATATATATATTTTTTAATCAAATAATATTTTTTTATTTTTATTTAAAAAATAATTATTATTTTATAAAATGAGTCCATAATAAGTTGATGGATAGCCTAGCCTAAGCTCATTTAGGTCCAGACCCAAATTGACCTAATTCAGTTTAATCTATAAATTTTATGTTTAGTTTAACTTATTTCTTGAGTCGACCCATTAAGTTAAGTCTATTTTGATACTTTTATTATCTAGTGGGGGATTGAATTTAAATGTTTTTGGGTTGATAAATAAACTCTTAATGTCACATAATAAAATAACTCACATTAAATATTTTAGTTTTGAATTTCTTAAGACTATCTTTTAAAACATTTTGACACCCATTATGAGACCTAGGAAACACTTCTTGATTCCTCCCTCCAAGATCTCATTTGTTCCTCTTTTTGGATGTTTTTCTACAAACATAGGAAACTTGGAGAAATTAAAAAAAAAATTCCACCTTTTATTAGATTTCAAGTTCATTGTTCATACATGACCTCTTTATTGGATATCTTATCACTTGATTCAGTATTAGATTTTTTTGGTCAAGCATCAAACTCATTTCGTTTGCTTTCGGACTCGTCTGGTCCATTAGTCTCATTTACATGACCTCTTTATTGGATCTCTTATAGCTTGATTTAGTATTAGATTTGTCTGGTTAAGCATCAAACTCATTTCGTTTACTTTAGGACTCGTCTGGTCCATTAGTCTCATTTATTGTGCCTTCGGGATCATTTGGTCTATTAATTGATGGTTGATCTTTCTCATTAACCTATAATTCTACAAATAATTCATCCAACTCTAATAATTCCTTACCCGACTCGTTTGGTCAACTAGTCTTATTTTGTTGTCTTCAAACTTGCCTAGTCTATTAGCTAATGATGGAGGAACATCTAGACCATAACACATTGGGCTTTGACTAAGGCCTAAAGAACCATCTAAGCCTAATACATTGGGCCTTAACTAAAGGTCCAGAGGACCATCTAGGTCATGACCCATGCAGCCTCAACTATGACCCAAAAGACTAGTTAGGCCGCAACATATTAGGCCTCAAACAAAGCCCATGGCTAGGAGGGTAGAAGAGAAGGAATATTTTCGAAGAACATTCCTCCTTTGGAGTCTCTCTTATTAAAATCCTCTTCTACATTTTACTTTGTATAAAATTGTGAAAACCTCCCTTTTCTTTTGTAGGACACGCTTAATCAAAGGGCTTCAAAGGGGTTGCACCCACAAAGTCACGACCTAATAATGGAAAGCTACATGGAGAGGAAGCTCACAACCACTCTTTCACTTACTTCGCTTGGTTGTACATTATGGAAACTCCTTCGTGTATAAACATTGGAAAACGTCTTCACCATAGCAATGTGGGACTTGAAGGAGGTGAAATGTTAAATAGAGGAGTAAGAAAGAACATTGGGATGAAACAAAATGGGTGCACAGTTTTCCCTCACATTTTCGGGCAAAGAAAGACAATTCCATGTTAGAAGGTTCAAGCTTCAAGTCTTGGTTACAACAATGGGAAGCATAAGCATATATAAACTCTTAACAAGGAACCTTCCTTGGAGGAGAAAGTGTCAAGTTTCTCTTGAAACTTAGGGAAGAATTTTGGTTAACACTTTTGTTGAACATACAAGGATATGAAGCTTGTAGATTTTGATGATGATTCAAGAATAAAGGACTTAGAGATTTGAAGATTTGTAATCTTATGTAATAACTCTGTTTTTATGTTTTTGAGTCTGTAATATTAGAGTCCAAGATAGCCAGCATATAGACCATCCTTTAAAAGCTCTAAAAACTCATTTTTATCAAAATTACACTGTGATAATCGATTATCACCCTGGATAATCGATTATTACAGCAAGAAAATCATTTTCAGGAAAACCTCTCTGTGATAATTGATTATCACAGGCAAAGAATCGATTATTTGGTCAGATAATCGATTATCCTGGTCCAATTTTGTTTCCCTGCGAAAATGGCTCTGGAATAATCGATTATCACTCAAGATAATCGATTATTTGCGTCTGTTATGTGTTTTGAAATTCAAATTTGGACCAAGTTTCGAAAACCCTATTCCCAATTCTTCTGTTTTCGAAAATCCCCAATTCCCAGACCCTATTCTCTCTACTTAAGGTTCTCTAAGGCTCTTTGCAAATGAACAAACCTTTTTCATACAAAAGTTAAAAGCTGTGACTGCTAGAGAACTTTTTGTAGGGAAGAAAAATGGGCTTTTGAAACCTAGTGTGGGCTAAAAGCGATAAGAATCACTGAGTGGGTTTCTTGGTGGATTGTGTATTGTGCCGTCTCTAGGAAAAACTGTTCTTCATCCTTGGTGGATTCAAAGAAGGTGTTCATCTCTTGTGTGACTTAAGAGAGGTGTTTTCTTTACCTTATCTTTTCAATTTGTAATCTGTTTGTAAATTGTGATTATAGTGACAGCATTAGTCCTCTTTTTAAGTGATTAGCAACTGGACGTAGGGTCTTGTGATCCGAATCAGTATAAATCAACTGTGTAATCCTCTATCCCTTATCTATTTACTTTAGACAACATTTTAATCGATGAAATTTGGGAAAAATTTTATAACCCTAATTTTTGTTTAAGAAACCAATTCACCCCCTCTTGGTTTTTTTTCGTAAACACAAACATTCCACTGCGCGATTCTAACAAGTGGTATCAGAGCTTGCTTTGATATTCATTCAATTTTCGAAAATGGTCGGACAAAATCAAACTTTTGCCGAGGGTGCTTCTATCAATAGACCCCCACTTTTTGTGGGGCAAAATTATCCTTTTTGGAAAGTTAGAATGCAAATATTTTTGGAGTCTGTTGATAGAAGTGTATGGGATGCAATTTTAAAAGGTCCTTTTACTCCTAAAATTACTGAAAACGGAGAAGAGGTACCAAAATCATTTTCTAGATGGTCGGCTAAAGAAAATAGAAAAGCCCAGTATGATGTTAGGGCTAGAAATATAATTTCATCTGCTTTAACTCTTGATGAGTTTTATAGGATATCTGTTTGTAAGAGTGCTCAAGAAATGTGGAAAATGTTAAGAGTAACCCATAAATGTACCAATGACGTTAAAAGAGCAAGAAAGAACTCATTGATTCAAGAGTATCAGATGTTCCGAATGCAACAAGGAGAAACAATTTTTGACATTTAAAAGCGTTTCACACATATTGTGAACCATCTCCCCGGGCTAGGTAAGATTTTTGATATTGATGAGTTAAATGTAAAAATTCTCAAATCTTTGGATAGGAAATGACAACCAAAGGTGACGGCCATCACAGAGTCACAAAATCTTGCTACCATGTTTATGGCGGCGCACTTTGGAAAATTGAGAGAACATGAACTTGAACTCGGAAGACTAAATGATGAAGAAGGCCAACACCAAAAGAGAAATCTTGCCTTCAAATCTGAAATTTCTAAGAGCAAGAACAAGAAGGAGGAAGAAGACTCGAAAAATGAAGATGATGAAAATTTGAGTCTCATGATAAAAAAATTTACAAAGTTCATGAAAGCTAAAGGGAAGCAACCCTTCAAAGGTAAGGGAAAGGTAAGAGAAAGTACTTCCTTAAATATTAAATGTTATGGTTGTGGTGAAACAGGACATGTAAAAACCGACTGTCCAAACAAGAAAAATGAAGATCATAAAGGCAAGAAATTCTTCAAAAAGAAAGCCTACATTGTTTGGGATGATAGTGACTCAAGTTCGGAATCAAGTGATTCGGAAATTGAAGCAAACATTTGCTTGATGGCAAATGACAACATCTCTTCCGACTTTGAGGTTAGTGATTCTGACTCTTCCTCAAGTGATGATGAAAATGATTATGATGCTTTACAAAATGCATATGGAGAATTGTTTACTGCTTTTAAGGACTCGAAAAATGAATATAAATATGTGAAAAAAGTGTTTGAATAAATCGAAAAAAGAGGTAGAATCCTTGAAAACGAAAATTGCATGTTTAGAGGAAAAAGATAATAAAAATATAGCATGTGCATCATGTAAAGAGTATGAATATGATATTGATATACTTAGCCACTTGCTTGATAAAACTAAGAAAGAATTAAGTGATAGTTATAAGGATAAAGC